GCTCGATGTGGGGCCAGACTTTCCCCACGCTGATGACTCCGATGCATCGCCGACGTCGCCGATGCGTCGCCGACGGGATGAAACGCCCGCCAAGTGGAGGGGGTCGATCGAGAGGTCTTGAGGCCCTCAGAGATCCCCAGAAGTGCATCGATGCTACCAGAGGCCGCCCAAGCACGAGACACGTTCAAAAGGCATGTCCTCGATCATTTGCCTTCAAGGAGGAGAACGCTGATTACAAGATCAGGACAAGCAAAACACAAACACCGATAAACGTTGCTTTTCTTATTAACTATACGTATTAGGATTCTTGTTTTGGAAATGGAGGGGAGGAGGATGTCCAGCCAATAAACAAAATATGGGAAATTCTAGGAACGCTTGTAGATTTCTTTTTGTCTCCCTGGGCCCCTTTGCAGTAGCTCGCTGCGCGCCTGGCGTGCCCTTGCGCTCGCCGAGCCGGCGATGGCCCCGACGCGTCTTGGCGTTGCCGCCGCCACCCGTGGGCCCCGTCGCTGCCGCCGGCCCCGCCGCTGCCGCCGGCCCCGCCGCTGCCGCCGGCCCCGCCGCGGCTCGGGCCTGCCTGCATCATCACTTCGGTGGGGCCGACCGGATCTGCCTCGACCCGGCCTTCCTTCTCTTGGTCTTCCTCCTCCTCCTCCTCCTACTCCTTCTCCTCCTCCCCGCACCCTCATAAACCATCAGCATCAGGAGTAGAGGGTGGGAGGATTCAGCAGGTTCACGGTGGTTTCTTTGCGGCTTCGGCTATTCAGGGCCTTGTGGCAGCATCCTCACGCGCCGCGTGCCCGCATGGGCATCGGGGCAGACGCAGGCGCGGTTACCCAGAGGTTACGTAGGGCTCTCTTTTCCATCCCTGTCCGTTATAAATAACGTCTCCCTGTCGCACCCCGAGACATGTCGGTAGGGCGGGCCGGGCGTTTCGGGCGAGATTTCTTCACCAATTCATATCCTGATTTGTTTCACCCCTTCCATTTTCATAGGATCGCAAAACAACGAATGACATAGCACATGTGATCCCATTCTTTTGATAACTGAAACCGCGGCGTCCGTCGTGCGTCTCAAACGCTGTTGGCGCTGAGCCCCACGGCGGTTGTGCGCAGTTTCTCAAGGGGGTCGGAGAGGACCACGAATCGAATTTCCATGAACAACACCTGGGCATCGCTTCCAGACGGGATGATGGGGCGCGCGAAGGACCCCAAAAAATTTGGATAGCCAGAGTAAAACTCCGAGTCGAGCCGCGAAGGGCACGCAAGAGAAGAGACAACATACATAGGCCGACGACATAAGCATGACGACTTCAAAAAAACGACAACGAAAAAAAGGGGGCCGACGACAAATTCAGACGACAAACAACAACAACTGCCAACGAACGGAAAAACGGCAGACGACAAAATCCGCTGGCCGCGCAGAGCCACGACACAATCCGAAGTCGCAACGGCAACCTGTTTTTTGTTTGAAAGAAAAACACCAGAAATATGCGCAATGAGATTATGCGGAAGCGCCGTCCGCATTGTAAATCCACAGGGGATGTTGACCACGGGCCAGATTTGTCACGCGGCTTGATCGGGCGATCTGTCGTCGCGCGTTCCGCGCGTCCGGAAGGTGCCCGCCCGAGTGGGGATTCGCCGCGCCCACGGATGCCTTCGCGCGCGCCGTGGCGCGCGGCGGGGATTGGCGCGCGCTGGACATACGCGCGCCGATGCCATTGCGCACGCCTCCGCTGCGGGCGGAGCGCGCTCGCCCGCGTCATCCCCCCCGCGCGGGCAACAACGTAGCGGCTCACCAAGAGCGGGCGTCAACGCGGGGGCCATGATTCGGGACGGGCGGTGGCATCATAGTTGAATTCGTTGATTACTGAACGCTGGCCAGCACGCTTCAATTGAGATGTTTGAAAATAAGCCCACCTGATGATTGTCAAAGATTTGTTTGTGGATCCTGTCTTATAGGTAAAGAGGAGGTGCGCTTGTGGTTTGCACTGTTTTAAGGATGGAGGGCGGGACTTTTAAACGTGTCAGTTTCGCGTTCGTGCCCTGCACATTCGTCTTCAAAGTAAGCAACTGGTTCATGGACGGATGGCGGGTGTTTTATGTGGTTTCCGCAGCAGCGCCGCGCGCGTCGTTCTGAATTTGAAATCCGGTGGCACTTTGAAGGATCAGGGCTGGTCCCGTTCAACATATTGTTCCCGGCCAAGCGTCGCTTACATGCGTGGTGCAATTTGCATTCGTTTCAAGGATATAGGAAGGCCCCAGTTCAACATTGTCGGTAAGTGACGCCCCTGGAGGCCTTCGTGCCCCTGGAGCCCCGAGGCCCCCTCGCTGTGCATGCCTGTCATATAAAGCGTCGTTGAGTGATTGAGTTTTATGATATGACTGACTACTACAGCCGTTTTGGCAGGAGGATTCGAGAATGGAGAGAGATTCATGATCCGACTATTGCTGCCAAGGTGGCAGCAGAGCGCGGGCGGCGACCCGCAGATCCACGGCAGGCCGCGACGACGCGGAGGCGCTCGCGGTGGAACTACAGGATGCGAAGGGAGAACCCGGACGGCTGTTCGGCATTATGGAGACACATCACGTTACGATTGAGGAGCTCAAGGCCGCGGGCCCAGAGAGGGCCGCGACAGGCAGACAGCTCGCGGCCGCGATCATTGGTGATAAGGGCAAGCCGCCGACGTTCAACAATATTCGGAAACCAGACCTCCACAAGTTCAAGGCTTTCGTGGGCAACCAGAGCAGGACGTGTTTGGAGGGAATGGCGCAGGTTGGTTTTAGCCAGAGTGAGCTGAACTACGCGAATTATGATGAGGAGTGGAGCCAGATGGCGCAATCGCTCTTCTACCAGCTAACGATGCACACGGAGGGCACCCCACTCGGCATCATAAGGGAGGTGAGTACCCAAGGTGGATTCGAGGAATACCGACGGCTGGGTTTCCATTGTGATCCGCAGAACATGGGGAGTTGTTCCTCGAGACTGATGAGGGTGCTGGAATTCGACTTCGGCAGCGAGGCAGAGCTCCTCGACAGCATCGCGAAGTTCGAGATCTTGCTCGAAGAGTGCGAGAAGCTCTCCAAGGAACAGCTCAGCGACAACATCCGCGCGGCTGTCCTGACCGCACGCGCCCCCGAGGCGCTCAGGAACCACGCGCTGCTCGCGATGCCGAAGGAGGAGATCCAGTGGCCTCGCGTGAAGATGGTCGCTGGCGGTTTCCTGCTCACGAAGCAGCCCGTGCCAGGGGGCCCGATGCCGATGGGCGCGGGCGCCATCGGCTCTAAGACGCGGTGGAAGGGCGGCAAGGGCAAGGACGGCATGAGCAAGGGCAAAAGTAAGGGCGGCGGCAAGGGCAAGGACTACTCCAAGAAGGGTGACAAGCACGACGGAAATAAGTCCAACGGACACTGCAGCCGATGCGGAAAGTGGGAGCATCGCAAGCGGGACTGCTACGCCAGAGTCAACAACATCGACCGATGGGAGAACAACAGCTGGAGCGAGAGCCAGAGCTGGAGCGCGACGTGGGACACCACCGGCAATGCGAAGGACAACGGCGACGCGGCGGCCAGCGGACAGCAGGACGAGGCGAAGGTGAAGGCAGGTGCCGTCACGTGCCGTGAGCATGAGGACTAGGTCTGGGCGTACGCCGTCGGCGGCGTCGACGGCCGCGTCGGGGCGCGCGCCGGAACGACCGTCGACGTCACGGTGGACACATGCGCCAACACGTCGGTGCGCGGGCCCAGGGACTTCCCCGACTACCCGGTCACGCAGGATCGCATGCTGGAGATCAAGGTTGCGAGTGGCGCGCCCTCGCGCACTGCGGAGACAAGCAGGTAGACCTCAGGACTGAGGGCGACGAGGGCATCAAGGTGAGGTTTCGCGTCGCTGAAGTCACAGTGCCATCCTCAGCGTCAAAAGCATCGGCAAGGCAGGAGCTGGGGCGGACTTCCCACCATCGGGCTCCGCGGGCCCACCCTCGATCACGCGCGACTCGAGGAGGGGGCGATCGCGGCTGGGGCATCAGAGGATGTTCTTGCGCGCGACCGTCCTTAGCTGCGCCCAGACGAAGCTCGGCGCGGACGGACTGGCCATCAACCACCCGGCTACGGAGCGCCCAGACCAGCATGTCGCGGCGCAGGTGAATGAACCAGTAGAGCCGACCGCGCGACTTGAGGCCTCGGTGATGGCGGGCCCGAACGAGCCTACGAAGGCGGAGAGAGACGCTTATGGAGCTATGGAGCTCTCCATTGTCCGCGCGCAGCACGTGGCCTGGGCGACAAACGCGAGAGGATCAGGGAGATCGAGGCAAGACGCGGCATGGCGAGAAGATGCACCCAGTCGTGAACGCGATCGATTATACGTATCACGCCGCGGCATCGATATGGCGCAATGCGAATGGAGGTGGATATGTGTTCGCGATGACGAGTCTGAAGCAGCATGCGCAGAGGCTCGGGTTCGAGAGTGTCATCATCCAGTGTGGCCCCGAGAACGCAGCAAAGGACGTAGCGGTGAAGATGGTGACTGACCTGAACGCGAGCTTCAGGTTCACTCCCAAGGCAAGCAAGGGCAGCAACGGCACGGTGGAATGATTCCACAGATTCATCGAGGGCATGACGAGGACTTGGAGGAGGGCCATCGGAACGAAGTACGGTGTCGCGATCGAGCTGCGACATCCCATCATGGCCTGGATCGTGCGGCGCGCCTCTTGGGCGCGCGATCGGTTCCTCGTCCACCGCGCCGACTACAATGCCTCGTTCGAGCGCCAGCGCGAGAGGCACAGCGACAAGAAGGCCCCACCACTGGGCGAGACGGTCACGTGGAGGCAGCCCGGGCGCATCGCCGCGAAGTTCGAGACCGCCTGGGGCTACGGCATCTACCTGCGGCGCTCGCTGGGGGACGACCAACGCACCTGCGGCGCGCGACATGGCATCGCCCTGGCGAGATCGGCCCGGCGGCTGGTGGAGAGCGAGCGGCGCGACAAGTAGCTGCTGCTCGCGATGAAAGGCGTCCACGGGGGCGCCAGGGCGACCAACGCGCAGGCGCCAGTGGTCGACAGGGTCGCCGAGGCATTGGACTTGAACCAGCCAAGGCCCGCCGGGCTTCCACGGCCCGAGGGGGCCGCGGCGCAGGAGGGGCAGTCCGACCAGCCGCGGCGAGCCGAGCCCGAGGCGCAGCGAGCGCAGGGCACGGCAGCTGGCGCCGCGCCAGTCGCCGACGAGGGCGCGCGCGATGTGGCGATGCGCCACGACGACGCGGTTGGACGACAGCGCCCAGCCTGCCACCAAGAGGCCGAGAGGACGACCGCCCACGCGAGTGCTGCCGGACCCGATGTCCAACGTATTTTCGCCAGGCTGCAATGGATGCCTTGGATGCCTAGCGTACCGACGCTCGAAATACTGCCTCCAGCGGAGGGGGCTGGCCCCCGAGACCCGCGCAGCAAGCGGGCTGCTGAGAGTTCGGCTGCTCCAGAGTCGATGCGCGCGGCAGTCGAGGAAGCTGAAAGCGCCGCTGGCAAGCGGGCCAGCGAGGCGCCTGCGGAAGGCGAGGCGCGTGAGAAGGAGAGGAGGACACAAACGGTGAAGGTTGGCAACGTGAGGGGCGACCTTCGAGCTGCTGCACTAGGCCTACTACGAGGACGACAGCGGCGAGCAGCTCGGCATGGGCCAGGTCCGCGAGGGCATCGAGCGAGAGGCGAAGTTCATGGTGTCGCTCGACATCGGCGAGGTGGTCGAGCGCCCTCGCGGCAAGAAGCTCAGGGCCGCGCGATTGCGCCACCGCAAGGAGGGCGACGGCGTCAGGAGCAGGTTCGTCGTGAAGCAGTTCAAGGATGCGCAGGCAGGCGACTTCTTCGCCTGCGCCCCCCGCGCGGAGTCCGCGCGAGTGCTGATGGCGGCGGCGCTGCTGCTCAAGCACATCATCGCGACGACGGACTTCAGCGTGGCTTTCATGCACGTGCCAGTGGAGGATGACCCCGAGATCCATGTGGAGATGCCACCTGAGTGCGGCATGGGTAACGGCTTCGCGTGGAAGCTGAAGAACTCTCAACTCTCTACGGGCTCCGGGAGGCGGCGCTCATGTTTCAGGAGCTCCTGGAGCGCGTCGTGGTTGGCCTTGGCTTCGAGGTGCGCAACGCCGAGCCCGCCGTCTACCGCCGCGGGGAGAAGGGCATCAGGGTCGTTGTCCACGCGGACGATCCTCTGGCCTCGGGCCCGACGCAGGGCGTGCTCGACGAGTTCTTCGACGAGCTGGCCAGGCACCTTCCGATTACAGGCCGGCGCGTTCTGGGCCAGGCTCCCGGAATCTACCTCGGCTCGCCGTTGCAGCGGCTCGGGGGCTTGATCGTGGAGAAGAGCAAGCCTGGTTACGTGGGGGGCATCCTCGAGGCCGCGGGGGCGCTGGGCTGCAAGGCCGCGGGCGCTGCGGGGACGAGGCCAGACCTCGCGCAGCCTGGAGCCGAGCAGCCGCTCAACGGCGAGGAGCACGCGGTGTGCCAGAGGCGCCGCGGGAAGATCCAGCACGCCATCCCGCGGCGGCCAGGCGCGATGCGCCCGCTGAGCTTGGCAGGCAGCTGAGCGAGCCACACTCGGCGGACATGAAGTGCCTGAAGCACCTCCTCCGCTACCTCAGCGGGGCGATCGACCTGGCGATGGTTCACCGCCCTTCGCGAGACTGGAAGTGTCTGCGAGGGGGCGCGGACTCGGACTGGGCTGGATGTCATAAGACATGGAAGTCGACGGCGTGCGATGGTGCGGCGCGTTCGTGAGTGCCTACGCCCGTCCGGAGTCGGTCTTGGCCCAGTCATTCCTTGAGGGCGAGTAATTGGTGGCGGTGGAGCTGGCGGCGGAGATGCCGTGCGTTCGTGAGCTCGTCAGGCTCATTGGCTTCGGGGCGACTCTGGAGAGGCGGACTGCGCCACCTGGGGGTCGAATGGCTTTGGCTCCAGCAGCTCGTCGGGTCGGGGCAGATCCAGATCCTGAAGGCGAAGGGCATGGAGAACCCACCCGACGCCGGCGCGAAGTTCCAGGCAAGGCTGCGCTGGAGAAGTGTCGTTCTATGCTGGGCATGACGTCGGTTGGGAAGCACGGCGCCGGGACTGCGGCGGCCCTGGCGGCGACGCGGGGAGCGCGATGCATGTCAGCGTTCATGGTGATGGTGAACGCGGCGAGAGCTGAGACCGCGACCACGGCAACTACGACGACCACTGCGACTGCGCCGGAGGTGCACGTGATGATTGCCCTGGTCTGGTCGGGATTATGTGTGCTGGCGGGGATGATGCTCGCAATCTGCTCTGCGCGGCCTTGCGACGGCAGCAAGGGGCAGCGAGTGCGAGCGTGATCCGCCCGCGCCTATGAGTCAAGCGCCACCCCCAGACGACGAGACGACCGCGGTCACTCGGCGGGTCGAGACACAGTTTTACCACCCTGACTCGTGGAGCACGGTGGTCCGTTTGTCTGCGCGGTGCAGCGGGCCTCAAGGGCACGCCAGGCGAGTGATTACACGTGCTGGTTGCCTGATCTGCGCGAGGCGGCCCGCGCCAGTTGGCACGCCGCAGATGTTTCACACCAGCGCCGAGGAGTCCGCGATTCATGCTCACGAGAGCTGCCGAGGCCTTCGGTCAAGGAAGCACCGCCTGGTCTCGAGGCGGACGCGCGCGCGGCGGTGAGGCCCGCGCCCCTTCCGCGAGCCCTTCCGCAATGTCTGTGACGGCCGCCCACCGCGCCGCTCGCCGAGGCCAGAGAAACCTGTGTGATTCGCGGGCCCCTCGGCAACAGGCTCGAGGAGGGGTACCAGTTAGTGACGCCCCTGGAGGCCCCTTTCGTACCCCTTGAGCCCCGAGGCCCCCTCGCTGCGCATGGATGTCACATAAGGTGTCGATGAGTAATTGAGCTTATGATATGACTGACTACAGCCGTTTTGGCACGAGGATCCGAGACTGAAGAGAGATTCCTGATCATATGATTGCTGTCAAGAAGAATGCGGGCCTCGCTCCAGCGCGCCGCGCATTCGACCTAACAAATGGCAGCGGTTTCAAACATTATAGCGGCCCCAGCATTGGTTTTCTGGGGCGGTTTAGGATCATCAGGACGTAAAGGTCACCTTGATCTTGATTCGTGGTGTTGAAGTCCCAGGAATTCTGCTTTTCTCACCATTGATGCTCTCAAACGGTTGATGTTCTTTTTCCACTGGGCGCATCCAGCAATGAAAACCAATTCTTGTCGGGAGCCGTCAGGAAGGAACTGGGGAAGTGGGAAAAGGGTTGATGGTAACATCGCTGATGCGTCTGCGGTTTGCATTGGTCGTGCTCAATTTCCTCCCTTTTGGGCGCGTCGCAGGGTGCGCCAGGAACCGCTGGCCATCACTGTAGGCCCCCGACCGGGCGGCCCGTTGGGGAGGGGCGCGCGGCCCGCCCAGGCGCGCGACCGCCCAAAGCGAGCGAAGGAAGGAAAGGATGAAATTTGGCTTCTAGAGCTGATGTAACGATTAAAAGGGATGGTTCGGGGCATTCGAATTTCACTGTCAGGGGTGAAATTCTTGGATTGGAGGAGGGGGGGGGACCGTCGGGTCAAGGATCGGGACCTCCGTCAGGCAGCGGGACCCGCGGGACCCCGTTCCCCGCCCCCCCGGGCGCCCAGGAGTGGAGCCGGCGCTGCGTGGAGGAGTTCTTTGCCCAGGGCGACCGCGAGAAGGCGCGGCGCGCGGGGGCGAGGGGCGAAGGGAAAGAGGGGGGAGCGGGGAGCGGAAGGTGGAGGAGGAGGAGGAGGAGGAGGGGGAACAGGAGGAGGAGGAACAGGAGGAGGAGGACGAGCAGGAGGAGGAGGAGGAGGACGACGACGAGCAGGAGGATGGTGGAGGAGGAGGAGGAGGACGAGCAGGAGGAGGAGGACGAGGAGGGTTCAAGTTCTGCAATGATATTGCCAGCCTCCCTGCCCAACGCAGATAGGAGAAGGGAAGAAGTCGAACAGGGATGGTCTTGCCCGCTGAATATTTGGGCTCTGGCTTTCATCTTTGCCAGCGATTTCAAGGAGGATGTTCTCCTCACCGCCTGTTCCCTTTGCCTTGTGAAGAAGCTGTTGCACGAAGGGATTGTTGAGACCGTTGGACGGGAACGGGGTGCAGGGCTAATCCACTGCGTGGGGGCACGGGTGTGCTACGACATTGTCGCGGCTCAGTCGAGGGCATCCCAGTACATTTGCTTCGAGAAGGGCCGTATCAAGTCATGGGCGTCAGGCGCGCTGCAAGGATTGCGCGATGCAGTTCGGCCTCCACTTGCCTTCTGCTCAGCGCTCGCTTTGTGAGTCTAATCATCATGGTGTGCGGCATCGTGCTTGGGAGTGCCATGGTGTCCCTCGGACGCGTTCTGGTGTGATTGGTAGTCTTATCGAGATTGGTGCAGCGCTGGTCGACCATAAAGACGCTAAGGAGCGCCATCTCTTTGCCGAAGTCAGATGCTCCGAGCACCCAGGTGACGGTCTGCCTCGACCTCCAGCTGAAGGTGATAGTGTCGTTCGGGAATCCAGAGGCCAAGACGAGGAGCAAGGCAGGGTTGAATGGGATGCCCTCATGGACGAATCGTGTACAAACCATATTTTTATGTATGATTAGATGAAAGCGACGGCCTCATCAGGGCAGCATGGGGCATGTAGCCATATACTCCAAAGTTCAGGTGCGGCCCAGTGGGGGGGGCCATGCCCCAGACCACTCAGGCGGCAGAATTCAAGGCCCTGGCGATAGTAGCCCGCAGTCTAGGAGGCACAGCGCTGAGCTAGCCCGATTGCTTGCATGTCCGATTACCGTTTTCCGCACAAGACGATGCACGCAAGCACGATGATCTGATCTTACTCCCCGCACGTAACGAGTCTGCAAAAAGTCCGAGCCCATGTGATTGATGGTCCAGAGTTGTTTGGAAGTCAGTGGTGGAAGAAAGCATGTATCGAGCGACGCCGCACATCTTGTGGCGCAGGCGGGATTGGCCTCGCACCAAACTGGCGCTGAAGCTGAACTATTTAGATGAAGTTCCCCGCAAAGCTAAAGTGGCACAGTCTGTCTGGTTGCTTGCGGCCAGCTTCCTCCCTCTCTAGCCCGCCCTGGACCGCAACGGCCGTTCGCTGGTTCGGAAGGGCCTAAACTCCCAGACCCCGTCGGGCCTCTGGGGATGCGCTGTGCGAGATGGAGTCGCACTGGAAGGTTTGGCGTTGCAGCACCTGCATCCGCATCACAAGGCGAGGCACCTTGAAGTTTGGCGAGTTTCCTTCCCCCCTCACCCGAGGGGCGCTTGGGGCGGAGGCCAGAGGGCAACCGATTGGCTTCAGACCGCGTCAGTGCCTCCTGTCTGTCCAGTCTTCGGACTGCCCGCCCTTTTGTTGCGGGCGTGTGCCGCAAGACCCATATGACGACAAGCCCGCCGCCACTCCTGCGAGGGGAATGCGCGCAGCCTTTACGTTTGGCGGGTTTCCTGCGCCCTCACCCGAGGGTCGTTTTGGGCGGAGGCCAGAGGCCAACCGCTCGGCTTCAGAGCGCGTCGGTGCCTCCTGTCTTTCCAGTCTTCGGACTGCTCGCTTTTTTTTGTTGCGGGCGTGTGCCGCAGGGCCCATACGACGACAAGCCCGCCGCCACTCCTGAGAGGGGCAATGCACGCAGCCGATGCGCAACGATGCGGAACGCAGGAAAAGGAAGCTCCTAAAAGGCAAGCGCGTTCGTTTGCACGGTGTTGTGTTCGAGGAAGTCCCTGAAAGAAGAAGCAAGTACTTATTTAGGCGTTGCCAGTGTTATAATCATCATCCCCTCTCCTCCATCCTAGGTGTAGCCTCCTTTTTTTCTGGAGCATGAGGGAGAGGAAGAGAGACAAGGTGAAGGAGAGTGAGTGCGAAGGAGAGGGATAGAGAGAGAGAGGGAGCTTGCACGATGGGGGAGCGAGGTCGGCGAGGTCCGAAGCACCAGGGGGCAACCCCGGCCCCCGTGTAGAAGACCACGGGCCGGACTAAAGCGCAAGAAGATTCTGACGTGTTTTGTTTCTGCGCCACCCTTGTGCAGACGCGCTGAACGTACACGCGCGAAGGGCGGCATGGTCCAGGCCTGGGCCACTTGGGAGGAGGAGGAGGAGGAGGAGGAGGAGGAGGAGGAGGAGGAGAGGGAGGGGGCAGAGGGAGAGAGGGAGGACGGTCATCATCACCCCACCCCCCCTCCCCCGCCCCACTCCCCTGCCCGCTCTCCTCCTCCCCGCGCGGCGCGTCCAGAGGCGCTCAAGCTGCAGCCGATTCAGCTGTTCGACCGCGACAGGGCAAGTCGCCCCCCCCCCTCCGTTGCCATCTTCGCCACTCCCCTCGACAGGAGGCAAGGGGGGAAGAGGAGGAGGAGCAGGAGGACGTCGAGGAGAGGAGAGAGATGTGAGTTCCACCCCCCTCCCTCCCCTCCCCTGCCCCGTCCGCTTCTGCTCTTCCCGTCCAGTTCCTGCGGAGAGAGATATTCCAGTCCACGTCGCCAAGGAGCAGCCTCTCGCACGAGGTGTTCCTCCCCAGCTGCCGGCCGTTCTCCCGCGAGTGGCGGTCACCAATTCGCTCGAGCAGTGCGCGGCCCCCGGCCCGGAGGCCAGCCCTGGCGAACCGTGCCGGCCGTTCGGAGCCACGCGCGCAGCTCTCGCAGGCCCCATCCCGGGGCCTGGACCCCGCCAGCGAACCGATCACCAAACCGGCCAGGTAAGTCCAGCCGGGGCGCCCCAGCCAATCTGGCCAGCCTGACCATAAGAGCCAGCCCTCCTAAGTCACAGGGGCAATGCTCTCGTGCTCGCTGGACCTCCTCCTCTCTTTCTCCCTCCTTCTCCTCCTCCTCCTCCTCCTCCTCCTCCTCCTCCTCCGTCGTTTCCGCCTACTCGAACGGTGCCAGTCATGCTCTTTCTCACCACGTCCTTGTCTGCTTCTGGTGCCGGCAACAGCCAGTGCATTGTTTCGTGCACGCTTTCAGATTCGCTTTACAAGACCTTCTTCGTAAGGGCTTCGCCCCCTGCCTCCTGCCCCCTCTCTCGGAGAATTGGGCATGCAAGAGCTATGTTGTGAGGCCTGGGCGCGCTCGTGAAGCAGAGTCGTAACTCCGAACGGGGGCCACTAGAGATATGAACGTGCCAACATCCATCTGAAATCTGAGGGGCATCGCAGATGTTGGCCTTGTGGGCCCCTGTTGGGGGTGCTCTTGGAGCGCTCTTGGGGGCCTCTTCGGAGCCTCGTGGGCTGTCTTGCGACCATCTTGGGCGCCTTGGAGAACTCTTGGGCCGTCCTGGAGGCTTCTTGCACCGCCGTGGGGGTCTTTTATGAAGGACCGTGATCTCGATAGCGCGAGTATTGCTAACGAGGGTTTATGATTTCAGGGACGCGAAGAAAGCGTAATTGACAAGGGATCGCGGCTTCGGGGGCGCAGACATTGTATACTTCACAGGGTGAATTATGGTGCTAGGAGCGCGAACGTAGCATAATCTGCGAGGGTTTATGGCCTCGGGGACGTGAATACCACGTAATTTGCGAAGGGGAAATGACCTCGGGGGCACGAGCGCGGCGTAATTCACGATGGATTATGGTTTGGGGTGCGCGAATATTATGTATTTTTACGTGTCCCAGGACCCCCAGCAAATTTTGAGACCCCCCCCACTGGTGGTAATCTGAGCCCTTTTTGGCTCCCCACCCCTCGCGCGGACTGCATCAATTCAGTAGGAAACAACAGGCATGACTACATTTGAGACTGGACACTTGAGTTCGCGCAGGGAGCAGCAAACCTCACCCGCAGAGCCGAATGGCCCCGCAAAGGGGGCCGGCGGATTCTGGTGTACATAGAGATTATATATGTCATTTCAATTTCTTTTTCAATTTATTTATCCTGTTGGTAGCGGAGTGGCGCGAAGCCGACGGAGCAAAAGACTTGCCCCAGGAGCTCGAAGAATTGGGCGGCGCCGACAGCCAGCATAATATCCACGCTGCCATCGAGCGCGCAGCGCCAGCGTCAGAGCATCCACGCGCAGCGCCGCCACTACCTTCGCGGGGCCCCCATGGCCGACTACGCCGCGCTAGAGGAGGTGGGAGAAGGAGGAAGGCATGTGGATTTACATCTTCGTCCAGGGGTGCACGAAACAGTCTGGAGCTTCCACGAGGCAGCGCCCAGCGACTGCGTCGCTCGCGCGCCCCGGACAGCCGCGCTCCACATTCGCGCCGCCGTCGAGACCGCGGTCGCGAAGCGCGACGCCGACCTTCTGTCCACAGGAGAAGTGTTGCGACGTCAGTGCCGCGGCTGTCAAAGGACGTCGCAGCGGCTTTCAAACACGTCGAGAGACGACGGTTCAAGGGCGCCCAGCACGCAATGGACTCCAGGCACCTTTTTAAATAGAACCATTGGGAGGGATCAGACGGCAAAACTGCCCGGATCATTCAGCGCCGCGCGGCGCTGAGGGCCTCCCGCGACATGGGCGCCAGAGTTGCGGGCGTCACAGCACGTCTGTCCTCAGGGGCGGCGCGTCGGCCCGACCGGGCGCGCGTCGCTGCGGGGGCCGAGGAGGCGTTCTTGCAAGGCGCGATCTACGCCGCGATGCAGGGGCGAGGCGAAGAACCCCGCGACGCGGATTGCAACCTGCCGCGCGGCAGCGCGGCCACCTTCCGACAGGTGCCCTGCCACGGGGGCTGCGACGAGCAGACTGAGTGTTGGCGCTGCGTCATGCCTGGAACGGGTTGCAAGGATGCGCCCCGAGCCCTCTCCGCAAAGCTCGCCCGGGCCACGCGCTCGCCGAAGCGCGGCGCCAGACCCGCCGGGCGTGGCGCGGAGCTCGGGGCCAAGCGCGAGACTTTGGGCGCCTTTGGCACTGGCCTCCAGGAGCTAGCGCTCGCCTTGTCCGACCGACCTGGAGATCCTTGGACACACGGGGCACGTCGAGCGGCTAAACCGCCACATCGAAAGCACATTCGGCAAAATGAAATGTGGTTCTGGCGGCTTCACCATCTGCGGAGTGCGTCAGCGCCGCAGCGCCGATGGCACCGCGACGCCTCGACCACGACGAATACGTTGACGCTCTCTCACCGATCGGACGCGTCGGCCTGGCCGAGGCAACGTTTGACGAGCCAGCTGGAGGTCGGCTTCCAGACCTCGCTGGAGGAGCGACCTACGCCCCGCTCGCCCAGCACCACGTCACCGCCTGCGTCGTCGCAGTGCAGAGAGCCAGAAAATGTCCATACTGCGCGCAATGCAGCTCTATTCAGTTGTTCTGGTCACGCAGAAGGTAAAGGCACGCATCGCGTCTCCGGCAATGGAGTGCGCCGGGCGACTCAGCGCGCGCGGCGACAGGTCGCGCGAGAGGGAGGAGGAGACAGGGTACGGCATGAGTGGGGCCGTATACATGCGTTTCGGCAAGTGCCGCCGCACCGGCATACAGGCGCGCCACTTCTTGGACGCAGTGAGCCGATCGCACAAGCGGGCGTGCTGATCCTCGTTCGGCCCAGGGCTGCGCGCAGCATGCGGCGCAGCCGACGGACTGCAGGCGCACTTCGTCGCGCTGCGCAAGATCCCGCCTCTGCTCAGCAGATCAAGAGGCCCTGGGAAGAAGGAGTTCGCGCGATCTTTGCAGATCCCGTCATCGACGGCATTGTCATCTTCAGCGCCGTGTTCATGGACCTGGTGCGGGCGCCCTCCAAGAACAGCGCGGCAAGCCACTTGCGGTGGTTCGCCGACCAGCTGCGCACCAAGCAATCGAGGAACTACTCTGGGCGACGCTCGGGACAGGCGGGCCGCCCCCATGACCCAGGGCAGCATGGGTCGGGGGCTCATCTTAAGCGCGATGGACGGCCAGATCAGCTGCGACCACGACACGGTCGAGTTTTGCGATGAGACGAAGAAGGCCGCCACTAGCTCCCAGCACAGATTTCTCATTCAGCAGTGACGAGGTGACTCGGGTGACTGCGTCGCGAGGTCGACCGCCGTAACTCCGATCCCCGGCACGCGGACCGAGCAGCCACGAGATCGTCAAGGTTTGCGAACAGCCGCGGTCAAACAAAAATTCGCAGTGGAAGTTGAGCATTCGCTTAGGTGCTGCTCCAGCAGTCTCATTATTCAGCAGCAGCATCATCATTAGCAGCATCATCTGAGTATCATTATTCAGCAGCAGCATCATCTGAGCAGCATCATCTGAGCATCATCTTGTAAGCCGTGCTCCACCGAGCGCCCACGGCAGGCAATTTTGTATTACGAGTGCGGTCAATAGTGCATTCATTCTCTGCAGCAGAATTGCGCCAACGATGGGGACAACGGACCAGCTTGAACACCAAATTCGAACGGTACATGTCCTGCTTGTTTTTCCCCATCCGCGTTTGTTTCCGCTGCTGTTTACAGCCAGTGCATTGTGCCACCCCCTTTTTAAAAAAGTCGCTTCACACAATTTACTCCGCTCTACAGAAACAAGAAACCCATCTTTCACACCAGTCTTTTCTTACATCAACTTCTCCAGTCGCCTCCGCATCCCCGTTCCTATCATTATCATCATTGTTTTTTTTGTTTGTCCTCTCTCTCTCTCTCCTTCTGGTTCTCCCGAGGGCGGCGGTCTCCATCCTTCGCACCTTTCCCAGCCGACCCGGCCATCCAGGCCTGCCCAAACCGCCCGCTTTGCAAGAATCCTGGCCCCGAGTGCGATGCTGAGCAGCGGAAGCTTGCCAGCTCGCGCCCGGCTAGCCCAGGATCCGGCTCCCGCAAAGGGTTCTGGAGTCGTTGGGACGCGCCTTCTCGCGAACGGCAGTCGACGTGTCGCAAGCGACTCCAAAATCTTGGGGCGTTCTAAGACGAAACAGCGGCATAAACATACATCTTCTGCGTTCCACGCGGGTTTATAAGATCGGCGATGGACACCCTAGAGAGCCTTGGATCCAGCACCGACCCAAACATCCACGCGGACTCTCGACAATTTCTGTTTATGCCGATGTTTCGTTAGCGTTGCACGCAGAATAAGGGCAAGCGCCTATGGCACTGCCAGCCGCATGCCGATCCGGACAGGCACGCGAACGCGTGCAGCGCCTTCGCTGGCCCTTTGGGCGCTCCCCGAAAAGCTTGACCCCGCCCCAGGCCCTACCCCGTCGGGCCCCGTCTGCCCCCGCCCGCCAGAGTCCAATTCGATGCCGATTCGACGCCGATTCTGGCCGGCCCGATCTGATCCGATTCCGACACGCCTACGATCCGATGCGGCCCGATGTTTGTACGGCGTTGTGGTCATCTTGGCGCAGCCGATCCGATTCGATCTCGATGCCGTGCCGATGCAGCCCGATCCGATGCACATGCCGGCTCGATGCGATCTACCGGTTCGATGTTGATTGGTCTTGCCCGGTCGTCCGCCCGCCCAGTCCGGTGTGCCTCGCCTGCCCTTGCAAAATGAGAAAAGAGGAGAGCGCCGCGGAGGCGCCGTCGCTCGCCAAGGGCCAGCTGGGCTTCCTCAACTTCGTGGTGATGCCCACCTGGAAGGACCGCACCCCGCGCCTGCAGCCGCCGCGGCACGGCACGGACGCGGGGCCTCGCTCCCGGGGCCGGGCTCGGCGACTGCAATCGGTGCGGCTGTGCCGGGTTTTGGTCTGCGATCGGCGCAGTTTCGGGTATATCCAGGACCCCGGGTAAGGGGACCCGGTTAGTGGTAGGGCCCTGGGGCCCCTCAATTGGCCAGATTCATTAAACCAGGTTTGCGGTAACTGGTGTTTTTCGGGTGACGGCAGTTCCGGTTAGTGGAAATGGGGCGGGGGGGCGCCCCCGGTACAAATCACTAAACCAGGTTCCACTAAACCCAGTTCTGCCAACGCCCGACAGTTGGTGCTTTGGGGTCACCACGTGGCGCCAAAGGCTTGATGGGCCCTCGCTGTCTGTCGAGGTCCTCGCCCGCCCCCCCCGGAGGTCCTAGGTGCGGGCTGCAGCGCCACGCCCCTTGGCAAGCAGCACCCTTCGGAGTTGCGGACGGGTCGCACGCGGGGGCGCGAGGGCGAGCGCGCTCCGGTGGCCCGGGCCCCTTTGGGAGCGGAGGGGGTTCGGCGCGAGGTCGCCGCGAAGGTGATGGCGCCGCGAGGGGCGTCCAGGCAGGCGACAGGCGAAGCCGAGAACTGCCCGGGAACGAGCCCCGAGAGGGGCCCAGGACGGCCTCTGGGGCTGTCACTTTTTGAAGGCTGCACGGATCAGGGACTCCTCCTTGGCCCTCAAGGCACTCTGGGAGCGGAGGTGGCGCGAGATCGTGCCGCGTGGGGCGTCCAGGTAGACGACAGGCGAAGCCAAGAACTGCCCAGGAACGAGCCCCGAGAGGGGCCCAGGACGGCCTCTGGGGCTGTCACTTTGGAAGGCTGCACGCATCAAGGGCTCCTTCTTGGCGCTCTGGGAGCGGAGGTGGCGCGGGGTCGCCGCGAAGGTGGCCGCGCCCCGCGCGGCACGGGGCGCGAACCCGGGAGTCCGGGAGACTTGCAAGTCGCAGGCGCGAGCAGCGGGCACGAGCTCGTCTTAAGTCGGGCCTGTCCCTCTACAGGGGGAATTTTCAAAAATAGTCAAAGAATAGTCTGGAGATTTTTTTTTTGTATTTTTTGACAATTTGGTAGTTGTTTTTGGGTATTTTTTGTTTTTCGCCGAAAAATCCCCCTGTAGGGGGACAGGCCCGACCTAAAGCTCGTCCTGGAGACCCCAGGGGGCCGACAACCTCCAGGCCGGTGGAATGGTACCCATCCATAGTGGAAGGTACAAGCCTTGAATGTGAGGGTCGTCGTCCCGTCCAGCTGCCTGCGGCGAGTTCCGCCGCGGTGCCAGCGCAGCACTCTTGTTGCGACGCTTCGAGCACCGCCCAGAAGGCCGTGACATGTGACACCTCTTCGTCTCTGCTTTTCGAAGGGCTCTTATGGAGCATGGTTCCCCAAACAATTGTTGCACTTAGAGATTCTTATTTGATCGCTTCGCTCATTCCGCCGGCCCTGGAGCCCTAAAGACCAAGACGGCTCCAAAAACGGCCGTTTCGCTCGGGACATCCTCAAACAATCGCGAAGATGGCCCAAGCTGGCCTCCAAGTCCGCACAAGATGGTCCAAGACGGTCTCCAAGACGGCCCAAGAGAGTCCAAGACGGCCAAGACGGCCCAAGAGGCCCCCCAGATGCTTCCGAGACGGCCCAAGAGGCCTCCAAGAGGTCCTCCAGGAGGGCCCGAAGAGGCCAAAATCATTGATTTGCCTTAGGATTTTGAAGGATTTTGGCATTTGCGCCTTTTCGGCTTTCCGACGGCTCAAGACGGCCCAAGAGGCCCCCA